GAATAAACAAGGGAATAAACTAATGAACTATCAGCAGGGGGATGGGAATGAAAAGTGCTGCCCTGCATTGTGCACATCCCCCCTGTATATGGATTGTACATGTAATACAAGGGCAGCACTTCTTATCCATGGCCTCACAGCATGGTGACTAAAGACCTGTCTAGGGAACTATGGTGATGCTGGCATTGTAGGTGTTTCAGACTGCATCCCTGGTAGGCTGGATGTGATTATGGGTTGTGTAGTTCAGTCAAATCTGAGACCGCAAGATTAGCCTTTATTAGTTAGTGCAGATCTGTCACCCTTTGGGCTTCTTTGCATATTATAAGGTCAGTGATCAAAATATCCACCAGCCATTGACGAGTGATAATGTTAACCTGGCAAGTGGAAATGTATCCTTGATATGGGTACCATAGTCCTGCTAAGCTTGCAGTGATCAGTAACATTTAAGTCCAGGTTAGTATTGTAGGACGTGAACTTTTAAGCCCTGGTAAGGTGATATCCTTGCTCTGTGTGCGATGATGAAGAGGGTGAAGCTAAAGGTAGTAGACCTACCTGAAACTCCTTGTCTGCACCACCATCTTCTTTATTCAGCTCATATTGCTTTGTCCACCAGAAGCCATGTCACAGCTGTAATTGTGCTCATAGGTCTGTGGACAAGCTAATGGGATCCGCATGATGCACAAGAAGATTCCTCATGTGTTCAATGTTAGCAGAAACTGTGGTAATTGCCAAAAGTTGAGAGCGAAGGCTCCTCTTTTGGTCAGCCCGTACCTGGCCAATAATACAAAGTAGTCACTGCTTTGACTTTATGATGTTTATGAAATTCCAACAGGGTCAGCATGACATTAGTGAACGGAGTTGCTCAAATCTAATGTGGGTATAAATTCAATTTTACCACGTACAATATGAGAGTTCCAAAACTTAATGGTCTTTTTATAAAATTTTGTCATTGGTTTACAGCTTTCCAAATTCTGCTGTTTTAAAGAGAAGCTTGCTATCGAATAAAGCTCTTAGTGGCTATTCAAGCTCTCATTTTGCTAACTGCTCAAATCAGCTGAATCCCTTTATGAGTTTTGATAGGCTAGTCACAAACTGCCGAATTGCAATTGAAGACCTTTCCTTTAGTTAATCCAGTTACCCTGCTATAAAGGATAATTGTACTCACACCTCTAAGCCACACAAACATAAGTCCCCAAAACATTACCCACAGCTCTCATTATTTTATTTCAGACCTTAAACACTCCTCTTACCGAAGTGTTTCTGCATCAAAGTGGAATGTTTGCATGCTACAGATATGTTGCTTTGAGTTTACTTTTTAAAGGGACACTATTGGCACTGTAACCTCATCTTCCTGAAGTAGTTGTAGTACTTGCAGTCCACTAGTGCCATCCCCCTATTCGGTGTTAAACTGTATTTGAATGGTTTAAAACTGAGTGAGGGTGTCTCTGACTCCGCTTTTTGCTTGGGCTGTAGCTATGGTGGCTTTACGCATTCCATTTTATACCAGTGACAGGCAGAGTGCATAGACTTGGCTGATCAACGTTTACAGCCTTATCTGGTGAACCAAGAAAGTAGGTCCTTGTACAAGAAAACTGCAATCTATTTAAGCCAGGCTGCAATATTCAATTCCTGTGTGCTGTATTTAAAAATAAAATAAAAAATAAATACATTTTTTAAAAAAAAAAAGGGAGGGGGGATGGGGGATATATTTGGCTTTGTGACTTCCCCTCAAAAAACCTGGAAAACTGGTACTGGGTGGGGAGCTGTTGGTGAGCTCAGCAATATATTGAGGCTTTGTTACACTAATGCACATCAGGATGACAAAATATGATCACTAAGTGGGGCCTCCATTTGTGTTAAAGTGGTTAGACCAGACATCTTCTTTTTGTTTTTGTAATACGGTGGGTTGTGCCAGATTTGAGAATGGTATGGTGGAAATGTCATTACCCAGGCAGTCATAGTCTCTCAAGCGACATAGATCCAGAATTCAATAAAACGCTGTTCATGGTGAGCTTATGATTGGCACAGCATTTTGTCGCTCACACTATTGCGTCTTTATAGGGGACTATAGGATCGGCTAAGATCATCAACCTTGATTATCTCAGCCAGTTAGGTGGGGTGCTAGGAAGTAAAGGTAAGTTTAAAAAAAAAAAAAAATTTTAAACCCTTAGAGTGGGAGGGGGTGTGAACACCTATATAGGTAGTGTAACATGTTTGTATTCCTAATGCTATAGTGTTTTAAGTATGCCTAAAGATGTAAACATAAAACTGCACTATCTCACAATTACTGTAGCTTCCTTTTAAAATGCTGCATATAAACAAAAAGTACATTTACACTGGCTCCTAGATTGAAAGCAATTTTGTCAAGCCCTGGGCTAATGCATCATCAGTAGAATCTGTTCAATCCTTGGGTCGCTGGTTCAAATCCTGGCAGGGTTGACTCAGCCATACATCTTTCTGAGGTAGATAAAATGAGTACCATTAAATTGGGTAATAGTAACAACCCCTGGATGTACTTGAAAACCAGAGTAAGCCTGTACCTTTCCTGGTTAAATACTTTTATTATTTGTGAATTACTTTTCCCATAAAGCTCCGCTCTGTGTAATCCCTTGAAACACTTACATTTTCAGATGAAAGAAACAATCATGAATCAAGAAAAACTAGCAAAATTGCAAGCACAAGTGCGCATCGGTGGAAAGGTAAGTTATGACAGCTGACAGTCATTTCTTTATTTCGTGTTTGACTACATTTCAGCAAAGACTAGAAGTGTGATCTAGTTTGTCAACTCGTTTACTGTTTTAGAGCACTGTCATAAGAGGTCCACACCATCTGTTGCGTTTGGTTTTGCCATCATCCTTGATCTCTGTATTACAGACAGTCCTCACTTACTGACCAGGTTCCTTTCCTACGACCCGGTTGTAGAACGAATTGGTCGGTAAGTTAGGAGTTAAGGGATTTCCTGCTCTGATGGGTTCTTCTATGTTCCTGGAAACTTCCCCGAACATAGACGAACGCACCAGAGCAGGGAACCCCATAGTTACATAGCTGAAAAGAGACTTGTGTCCATCAAGTTCAGCCTTCCTCACACTTGTTTTTTGCTGTTGATCCAAAAGAAGGCAAAAAACCCAGTTTGAAGCACAATTTGCAACAAGCTAGGAAAAAAATTCCTTCTTGACCCCAGAATGGCAGTCAGATTTATCCTTGGATCAAGCAGTTATTACCCTACATTGAAAGATTATATCCTTGAATATTCTGTTTTTGCAAGTATGCATCTAGTAGCTGTTTGAACATCTGTATGGACTCTGATAAAACCACTTCTTCAGGCAGAGAATTCCACATCCTTATTGTTCTTACAGTAAAAAAAACCTTTCCTTTGCCTTAGACGATTAGAGTAGGGGTGGCCAATATGCGGCCCTCCAGATGTTTTGGACTACATCTCTCTTGATGCTTTGTTAGTATTACGGCCCTAAGAGCATTATGGGAGATGTAGTCCAAAACATCTGGAGGGTAGCAGATTGCCCACCCCTGGATTAGAGGGATTCCCTGCTCTCGTGCGTTTGTCTATGTTCAGGGAAGTTTCCAGGAACATAAACATATGCACCAAAGCAGGGAATCCCCACAACAGCTCGCACTTATGCCTGGTTGTAAGTGCGAACCGTCGTAAAATAGGTTGCTAAATGAGGACCACCTGTACGGTTATCTTTTGTTCAGCACAATTGTGGTGGCAATGGGAAAAAAAAAAACCCACAAAGTTTTAGATATGTAGTGTAATGCCATGCTGTACACTGGTCAATTGTTACACTTTGCAGCATTAGATTATCTTTTCAACATCTAAGAAACTTTGACATCAAGCACATGTGACCTTTGCAACCCGTACTAGTTTTTAATACTCTGCATGTTCACTATTTCATTTCTTTACTTTGTACAGTCTCACATCAATTGTTAAAGCGCTGCGGGATATGTTGTCACTTTAGCAATAATACGGCCTTGTTTTATGTGTTATCCAAATGATTCATATTAGTTTCTTTGCCAGTAAAGAGAAATGCCATCTGCAGCTGCATTTAGAATTGCAAGATCCCTGAAGGGAGGTGAGCAAAGATACTGAAATAAAACCTCCCCTGGTTATGTAAAAAGAGCAGTTACCATGGAAACGGTAGAGCACTCTTGCCGAATATTCCAGTTTTAGAACTTGTTGCCTTCGATTGCTCCTTTTGCTCCCTGCAGTGAAAATGATCAACTGCCTAAACGGCTGTGTTTACATGACTTGCTTAATCAGTTGTTACTAAGAAACAGAATTTAAACATGGAGATTCTTTGGTAATTTTCGAAGCATTGAAAATGGATGTTTCCCAGACTGAAGAAAAGTAATAAAAAATAAAAAAAATGCATGTCTTCCAGTATCTCGGTATTCTTTATGGATTATCAGCCACTTTGTTCCGAGGGCCTGGTGCCGTTGCAGCAGCTCTAATCATACGCTTTGAGTTCTGCATTAGGGATCGACCGATTATTGGTCTGTCCGATATTGTCGGCCGATATTCTGTATTTTCGGCAATATCGGTATCTGCCAATAAAGATACCGATATTGCCGATAATACATACCAGGACCGCTGGGCTCATTACAAGCCCGGCGGTCCTGGGGGGGGCACTCAGCAAGCTCTTACCTTCCCTTCAGCTCCCTGTGTAAATCTCGCGAGTCCCGAGATTTACACAGGGAGCCAAAGGGAAGGTAAGTAACAGCTTGCTGTCGGGCCCCCTCTGTATTTTCCATGCCACAGGACCACCCAGGAATGCAATATCCCCCCTCCCTGGCCAAGTAGCAAGCAAGGTGGGGGAACTAAAATTTTATATATGTAATATTTTTAAGGACCACTCTAGGCACCCAGACCACTTCAGCTTAATGAAGTGGTCTGGGTTCCAGGTCCAGCTAGGGTTAACCCATTTTTTTTCATAAACATTGCAGTTTCTGAGAAACTGCTATGTTTGTGAATGGGTTAAGCCTTCCCCTATTTCCTCTAGTGGCTGCCTCATTGACAGCCACTAGAGGCGCTTGCATGCTTCTCATTGTGATTTTCACAGTGAGAGCACGCCAGCGTCCATAGGAAAGCATTATGAATGCTTTCCTATGTGACCGGCTGAATGCGCGCGCAGCTCTTGCCGCGCGTGCGCATTCAGCCGCTTCGGAGGAGGAGAGCTCTCCGCCCAGCGCTGGAAAAAGGTACGATTTAACCCCATTCCCCCTTCCAGAGCAGGGAGGGAGGGGGCACCCTGAGGTTGGGGGCACCCTCAGGCCACTATAGTGCCAGGAAAACAAGTGTGTTTTCCTGGCACTATAGTGGTCCTTTAAATGCTCCAGTATTGTGTTAAGGTCCCTGTATTGATAAGCCTTGGCCACAAGCAGATGCTTCTGTAGAGATATTTACCAGCATTGTACATTAACAAATTGTGAATTTGTGTGGAACTTAAGCACGAAAGGACAGCACAAGTTGCATCAAATAGGATATAAGGCAGGCAACCTTCGGCACTCCAGATGTTGTGGCTTACAGCTATAATACTGGCAAAGCATCATAGGAGGTGTAGTCCAAAACATTTTGAGTGCCAAAAGTTTCCTATTGGGGATCGACCGGTATAGATTTTATATTTTAATTTTTTATTTTTTTTTAAGAGCTGATACCGATAATCTGTGAACTTTCAGGCCGATAGCTGATAATTTACCGACATTGATATTCTGTACATTTACCATTAAAAAAATATTTCTACACAAATCTACTGTTAAATGAACAAGTTTGTTTGGGGGGGGGGTGTGGTTTTAAGGGTCTCTAAGGTACCAGAAAAAACTGCAGGTTCCCTCTCCTTCCCACCTCCCATCCCCCAGTTGCCAAAGGGGTGAAAACCCCTTCAGTCATTTACCTGAGATGTCCCGCGGTGGTTTTGGGTCGCCGCCGCTCCTCCTCTTCATTACGTCGGTCGGTGGGCGAGACTGATCTCGCCGGCCGGCCGCTGAGACCTAATGTGCCGTGCATGCGCATTAAAGCTCTCCATCGAAACACCCCCCCCAGAGCACCACCATATTTCTCAGTACTTTACAATATTATAAGAGGGAAATTGTAACAATAAATGAGACCAATACAAAATGTTACAGGAACAGTAGGTTGATGAGAACCCTGCTCAGACGAGCTTAGCTGTGCAAATAGTCCTCATATGAATACTTTGTTCAACTTTAGAGTTTCTCTTTTGTTTTTACCAGGGAAGCGCCCGCAGAAAGAAGAAGGTTGTCCACCGAACAGCCACTGCTGATGACAAGAAACTCCAGTTTTCCCTAAAGAAACTGGGTGTGAATAACATCTCTGGCATAGAGGAGGTAGGTGCTTGTTTCACTTCTCAAACCTGATTTATCATAAGAACATGTAGTGTGGCAAATGATAATATTTTGCTCTGTAGCTTTTGTGAACTACACGTAATTTCTTATATTTAGACATGGCAAAAGTCCTCAATTATGTGCAATGTGATCAAAGATGGAACACATGGTTCAATATATGCTATAAGCAAACCCCTTTCTTGTTCCCCCTTTAACAGGTAAATATGTTTACAAACCAAGGAACTGTTATCCACTTCAACAATCCTAAAGTACAGGCTTCTTTGGCTGCCAACACCTTCACAATTACAGGTCATGCAGAGACCAAGCAGCTCACAGAGATGTTGCCCAGTATTCTGAACCAGCTCGGGGCTGATAGTCTCACCAGCTTGAGGAGACTTGCAGAGGCTTTGCCCAAACAATGTAAGTGGTGTGTGTGTGTTTCAACATGTAGAGCATGGTGGCTGATTAAAGGAACGTTCCACACATATAAAATCCTGAGCAGGGATTTACAGAAGGGCAGCTATTGCGTTTCTCTAAGCTTTAAGATCATATTCCCTGTTTTTGTTGGAATGCATTTACTTGGTTCTCCCGAAATTCAAAAGGGTAACCCAGACTTGGACCCTGTGCTCACTGTGCCTAGAGGGGTATCAGCTACACCTTGCTGACAAAGCGCAAAGAAGGCCGAAATGATCGTCCTTGGTGCTGTATCTTTAATGCAGAGAGAACCTGCTGGCATTTCGGTTCTGGACTACCCTTATGGGTGGGATTAGTCTGATATGCCTTGGAACGGATTCTGTCTGTAATGGCACAAGTGATAAAAAACTATTTTGAGACCTGAGCAGGGATTTACCAAAGGACAAGCTATGGAGTTTCTCTAAGCTCGTCTGTTCTCATATTATTAATAATGTATTTAACCAGGAAATGTACATTTAATGTTACTATGGTTTTCAAGTACGTCCTGGGGATGATACTGTAGCCCAACATCCAGGGATTGTTACAATTACCCAATTTAATGGTACTTATTTTATCTACCTCGGAAGGATGAAGGGCTGAGTCAACCCTGCTGGGATTTGAACCTGCGACCCAAGGGTTGAACAGATTCTACTGATGATGTATTAGCCAACTGAGCTATCTCCTATAAAATCTTTCATAGTTTCCACTTTCAGTAATCTGTTTTCTGTTGCATGTGGAAGCTGAAGGCAGTAATGAAATGTTAAAGCACTGCTATTTTGCATAGTGTTTTCCGTGTATGTGCCTGACGTGCTAGCTCTATTCTTGAATAGAAAGCATTTCAATCTGCAATTTGCATACAATCGCAGGGCTACGTCCCTATATTTGTATGGAAGAGAACTGACTATTCAGACTGCCGTTATATTTGATTCTGGTCTAACTGAAATCCATTGTGCTATTAAGAACATCACAAAGCACTTTTTCAGCAAACGTATGTAGTAACACATCAATGTGCTGAGAGTTCTTCCCCCTTTGCTGAAATCATAGGACATAGATCTGGGTTTGTTTTTGGATTGTCCTTCATGTAATTTCAGTGCATGCGTTTTCCAGTGTTAAATGTTGTATAGCATTCATTAGATTTAAAGGAATACTAGCATTGGGAATAAATAAGAACAGTTTTACTAGCATTTTTTTCCCCCGTGTGCTGGTCTTGCTGTGATTGCATCGCCTCTGTTGGCTGAGAGAGTCAGTATTGTTAATCTCAGCCAGTGCAATGCTTCCTCATTGGGGGCCAGTGCGTATGCTTGACAACCAGTCGGCATCTTCTCATAGAAATGCATTAACAGCGTGGAGATGCTGAATAAAAGTCCAGCTATCTTTGCAGGACTTCATCCAGGAATTTCCTCTAGTCCAGTCAGAGTAATCGCAATTAGAGGTGGTAATAGGCAGCGGTTTAACACTGACTTTACTAAGAAAATGCAATATTTACACTGCTGAAGCTGCAGGGACCATCGTTGTCCCATAACTACTATATTGAGCTGTAGTGGTTCTGGTGCCTATAGCTACAGTGCCTATAACTAAAATCATAAGTCATGTTCGTGGAAAGTCAATTCTTACTGTGTTTGCCTTTCAGCACTGGATGGGAAAGCACCACTTGCCACCGGGGAGGAAGAGGATGATGAAGTTCCAGGTAAGGTTATGCTCTGCACCACAAATTTATTCGAACATTCCATTACTCAAGCTGCCTTATTAATGTAAACAAACCGCACAAGTTGGATCCTGCAAACTATGCCTTGTGTAGCATGCCGAGCTCCATTGCATGAATGAAACATTTGCGTAAATCTTTACTAGAATGGTATTGGATTGCTACTCATTGCAATGCAATATAGTTTAACTACAAAGCATTAAGCAAGAGTCAGTTATCATTTTTTATTTTTTTTGTTCTCTCTCTCACTATTTCTATGCAGTTACAGTTCAGCAACTCCTACTTACTGCAGCCTACATCTATACTCTTTATCAACTGTCAGGGATAATGAATATCTAAACGTATTCACCTGTTTCGAGTCTTATTTAACCGTAGTTCCTCAGCCTTGTCTGTACAGTTGGGTGTAAAAAAGCATGACTAATCATTAGCTGCCATTTCAGAAGCGGTTGTGCTTGAGGAAAGGCATATATATTCCTACCAAGTGGTGCAGTATGGAAAATGTTTGAGAGCGAAGGAATGCTGAATGGTGTTTGAATGTGTAAAATGTTTCTAAAATCTACCAATAATTGCTGTTTGTATTCTTTCACAGAACTCGTTGAGAACTTTGACGAAGCTTCCAAGAATGAGTCGGTCTGATTAACTTAAACCACTGAAGAACATACAATTATGGGCAGTGCTGCTATTTTATATTGTGGCTGCTTTATCTATTTGTTTCCTTTTTGCCTCTGTTTCTGTTTTGGCCCAATGAGATTAACTCTTTAACAATATTTTATTGGCTATGCCATCATAACAATAGTTGGATCTTCCATATTCCAAGAAGACTTGCGTACCAGGTTGTTTGATGGCATGCATGGTCTTTAATTGGTTAAATGTTTTTGAACTTTAAAACCATTGTAATTAGCAGCTACCCAATGCCTGCTTCTTTGCAGAGAACTTGCATATTGCGACTCCATTTACGTGAACAGTTCTGGAAATAAAGGTTTATAAAACAAACATCCCTTGAGATTTTGTTTCAGTGTTGTATGCAGGTTATAAAGTGATTTACAGGTCACTATCAACAAGGTAATTCCTTATTTACATACACTGAGAAAACAGATTAATGTTTAAGAACTAATTGCATAACCTATTCAGTTGAGATATGCAAGTGTTATGTTACTATACTTGCATGTGAAAAGAATAAAGCCTACAAATGTTCAATAGAATTGTCATTTATTTTATGCTTTAGTACTTGCAATATTTTAAATAAAGGAAGCACGCTGACACAATGTTTAACATTTTAAAAGCTGCTTTGAAATTTTTTTTTTTTTTGGATGGACACTAGTCACCAAAATAACTAGCTTAATGAAGCAGTTTGGGTGTATAGATCATGCCCCTACTGTCTCACTACTTGGGGTTTTCTGCCATTTAGGAGTTAAATTACTTTGTTTATGCAGCCCTAGACACGCCTCCTTGCATATGACTTGCACAGCCTTAGTAAACACTTCCTGTAATGAGATGTCTAATGTCTAGACTTTCTTTATGCAAGTTCTACTTAATTTAGAATTTATCACCTGCTCTAATAGTTTGCTATTGTGAGTATATTTATTGCCTTAAAGGACCACTCTAGGCACCCAGACCACTTCAGCTTAATGAAGTGGTCTGGGTGCCAGGTCCTTCTAGGGTTAACCCATTTTTTCATAAACATAGCAGTTGCATAGAAACTGCTATGTTTATCAATGGGTTAAGCCTTCCCCTATTTCCTCTAGCGGCTGTCTCACTGACAGCCACTAGAGGCGCTTGTGTGATTCTCACTGTGATTTTCACAGTGAGAGCACGCCAGTGTCCATAGCAAAGCATTATGAATGCTTTCCTATGTGACCGGCTGAATGCGCGCGCAGCCAGCCGACAGGGAGAAGAGGAGGATCGGAGGAGGAGAGCTCCCCACCCAGCGCTGGAAAAAGGTAAGTTTTAACCCCTTTCCCCATTCCAGAGCCGGGTGGGGGCACCCTCAGGGCACTAGAGTGCCAGGAAAACGAGTGTGTTTTCCTGGCACTATAGTGGTCCTTTAAGGCATTTTTATTAGTTCTGGTGAGTATATTTATTGCCTTAAGGCATTTTCAGAGAAAAGATACGTTGCCCTCTAGGAATACTGCCAAGTGGCCACCGGCGGTGCTTCCTGGGGCAGTGCTGCTGTTCAGCGTCTCCACGCTCTGCATGGAGACGCTGAATTTTTCTCATTGAGATGCATTGATTCAATGCGTTTCTATGAGGAGTTGCTGATTGGCCAAAAGGTGTTTCGCCCAGCCTCCTTGCTGATTTCAGCCAATCCAATGCTTTCCCTATGTTTCCCAGTTCAGGGCTGGAAATAAGGTGAGTTTTAACATTTTCTAAGGAGGGCAAGCCACCTAAATGGTGGTTTTAACACTATGGGGTCAGGAATACATATTTGTGTTTCTGACCCTATAGTGTTCCTTTGAAATATGTTTCGTATATAATTGTTCTGTGCAATCAAATTTACTGTTACAGTGCTTTAAAGGACTTTTCACTGTGCCCCAATGTTCCTGCAGTGAAGTCCTCAAGACTGACTTAATTACTTGGATGCATTGGAGAGCGGAACTGAGCACATATGGTGCATGCCCAGCAATCCAAGGTGTCAGTAACTGAACCGACACTTTGTATGGGGTCTTTAATTGGGGACAATAGTAGAATACAAATGTGTGGCTTGAACTGTAACTAACTGGACACAGTCTGAAATTCCACATGAATTATACCCAGATTTAGCAGATGTTGGACTGCTTTTTTTTTTTTTTTAATACCTTGAGATGTCTAATTTTCTAGAAATAAATACTTCTGTGTAGCAGTTTTAGATTATGTGATTTATTGCATGACTATATCTCTGCAAATACTCCCAGGACTTTGTTGTCTGAATCACGACAAACATTGGAAGAGACAAATATTATAGTGGAGCTCCAATGTGCCCTGAAACGTACTACTTTGAACAAAGCTACTGGGCCTGCTAACCTTACATTATGCCATTATAAAATATTTGTAGAAATCCCCTTACTGAACCTAGCATAGGAGCTAAAGTCCCTTTTGCATGTTGTGATTCTTCATAGAGGCTATCACAGTTCACATCTCAGTGTTGCATAAGGAGGGTAAAGATCCAACTTTATGCACTAGTTACCATCTTATCTCTTTGCTCAATACTGATTTGACACTTTTTACCAAAGTGTTGGTCCTTTAGTATTTGTCTGGTTCTTCCAAAATTAAATCGGTTTTATACCTGAGCATACAATGTTGTGCACTTAGCTTGTCTTTCTCCATGACCTTATCTCCTCTTCTGATGCCAAAAAGGCTTTTGACTGGGTGGATTAGTTTTCTAAAACCTTCTTTACAGTATATAGGTTTTGGTCCAAATATTTACATGTCGTGTATTGCAGCTCTATATATGAACACAAATGCTTATGTTGGGGTGAATTGAGCTCTATCAGACACTTGGAAGTATCAACAATGGTACTCACCAAGGTTATCCTTCCTCCTATTTGCCATTTCTCTACACCCGTTTTTGGAGGTGGTTGGGCAGAAATATCAGGCTTCTCATTTAGGGTAAAGGAGTGTATAGGGTAGCTGCATACATGGCTGATTTTATGTTCATGGTTAAGAATTCCTGTATTTTATTGTCAAATTTCCTAAAAGCATTTTGTGAAAATGACGAATTGTCAAACCTTAAGTGCTGAAATTTTGAATATTGAGTATTGATCCGCCTCTAATTCATCATTGCAGCATCCATTTATTGCAGCTACAGTAAAATATGATACTCTATCAGCTATTAAGACTTGGCAAACGACCCAAATCCTTTAATTCCAGTACCGCAAAATCTAGATTTCGCATGGGGCCTAAATTGCAAGAATCTACCATTTGGACCTGAAAAGCTGCTCCTTTAGAACCAATAGTGGTCTTTAGTCTGATATAATTCAGGGGACCAACAGGCTAGACTGAAAAGCTTTAAATATTTCCAGATTTTCTGTTACTTTTGTCCCCTGCGGGTTAAACTTAATGTTCACAGGGAGCTTACATCATTTGAGCGTTTACATAGACTTTCCCCTTGTACAAGTTTATATTAAAGGGACACTATAGTCACCAAAACAAGTTTAGCTTAATGAAGTAGTTTTAGTGTAGAGATCATGCCTCTGAAGTTTCACTGCTCATTTCTCTGCAATTTAGGAGTTAAATAACTTTTGTTTTTGTTTATGCATCCCTAGCAACACCTTCACTGGCTGTGACTGACACAGCCTGCATGAAAACAAGATTGATTTTCAACCAGTTTTAACTTTAGAAGTTTTTATCTCCTGGTGTAAATTGAATTTTACTTACATACAAGAGGCTCTTGGATGATCTAGCAAGCTATTAAAAAAAGCAGGAGACAAATTCTAAATTAAACAGAATGCGCAATAAATGAAGTGTAACCATTTGACTCTTTCCAGGAAGTGTTTAGTAAGGCTGTGCAAGTCACATGCAGGGAGGTGTGTCTAGGGCTGTATAAACAAAGCGATTTAACTCTTAAATGGCAGACAATTGAGCAGTGAGACTGCAGGGACATAATCTATACACCAAAACTGCATCATTAAGCTAAAGTTGTTTTGGTGACTAGTGTCCATTTTAACTTCCCATCCCTTACTTTTCACTAAGATTCTCTCCAGTTAAGTTTGGACATATTCTTTCTAAAGGTCAGTGGAAAACTATTTTGACATACCAGAGCTTAGTTTCCAATAAAGTTTGGGAGCTGAATTACTATTTTGGTAGAGTTGCCCTCTCTTAGTCAAAAAAACCTCAAACTCTGTGATGCCTTTTGGATCAGGGAGTTAAAAGCTCTGGTTCCAAGGGATCTCACTTGTGAATATGACCTCTCATTGTTTATTTAAATCTTTGATTTGGTGTGATTTTAATATGAGTTATAGTCTTTTATCCTTTAGATTAATCCAAATATTTTAATGCACGGTGATGTATTGCATGTCCTTTACATTGTCACCAGCACTTGTGCACATTTTGAAGCAGTAGTCTCATTATAGTCGTAAGAAGATATTGTTACATATTGGCACTTTATTAAAAAAAAAATGTCTATATGAACATTTTTTTTCTTTTTCTTTTACATATATGTGCAAATTGATCCTGGCATTCATGACAGAACATGGAAGTTTCAAAAGGCAGTATGCCAGCTTTGTAAATGTTACTAATTACAGTTTTTCCATATTGATTAGCTAATAATATTCTTATTCTTGCCAACAAGGGTTGTGTTATTTGTAGCAATTATTTTGAAAAAAAAAAGTTTTAAATACATTTACAAATAAGAAATATAATTTATCATTTAAATACATAAATGTATCGCTCTAAATGCTTGGGATTTCATAGAGAGACTATAATATTAACATGATAGTTCATCACTCCAGTCTGTGCAGTCCTGAATGTTGTCATGACAGCGTGTTTTGGGGATACAGTCACAATCCGCAAAGAAGACTGTGCTACACCTCCATCCCGGACAGAGAGGACAACGCAGCGCTGAAAGAATAGGAAAGAATATATAACCTTAATCTATATGAATTGAAAACAGTTTGGCCAAACTTGTATTTCTTTATTTTCTGATTAATTTGTGTGAAGGGAGTAACAGGAGAACTATTTCATTGATTTCCAGACTTTCAAACTGTATTGCTTAATATAAGCTTACAGTCTATGAGGATTTGAGGTTTGTTGAATATTTCCATTCGATATCCTGCCCAAGTGGTCCAAAAAGGTTTTGAACCTGGGTTTACTAGGTCTAAGGCAGTGATGTTACCAGCCAATATCTATTCATTTAAGAAAATATCCTATTGTGTCTGGTACAGACTTTTATTTTGTCTCCTTGGACCATGCAAGTTTAGAACAGCTTCGAGTAAGACATAACAGAATAAGACATTTTAAAGGGATACTCAAGACCCCTAAAGCACTTTAGCTAGCTGTAATGATTTGTGTGAAGAGTGTGACCTTTTCTTTTCCATTTTCCAAAAAGTGGCGATTTCAGTAGAAATTGGCCCTTTTATAAATTAACCTTGTTACTCGTTAAAACCTACCGGACTCATCGGAACAATCGCCACAGTCATTTCTTTTGTCACAGAGTTTGTCAATATATGTCCAAGTTCTTTTGTTTGCACATCGGAAAACCAGGTTTTCTGGAAGACTATTTGGTAAATTACCTGTTCGGTTAAAAAAAGACAATTCTTTTTAAGCCATCCCTTGTAAAAACTGTAGAACCATTTTTCAATCTTGCACAAAAAAAAAAGTTGCCTTCACTAGTGTTAGTCAATTTTTTTTATATATGCCGTCATAATTTGTTTCACTGCGGCATTGCATTTGCCTTTTGAAAAGACAAAGACAATTCTATTTTTTTTTTTTTTTTTATTGAAGTCTGATGTTTGTGACTTCTTCATAGTGCCCCGTGCCCATGCAAATGCCACTGTGGAAAGCCAGGTCCAGTCTTTGAGTCCACCTGTAATTTGCGGGTTTGGGTACCTCACATTCCTCGCCTCCTTTCGTCATTGTTGTTGCTGCACTCAACGAGGCTTTTCTCCAAAGTGGAAAGGACACAGAAGAGGTGGTGGCCAAAAGGCAAAAGACCCACCTCTTCCACCAAAGCATTTCTCTTCAGGTATTTAATACAAATTAACTTACTTTGACCATGATTTCGAAGTTATCCAAAAAACAAACTAGATTTGATCCCATATTAAGTCAATTAAGATTCTTCTTGATTTATTATTATTATTTATAAAGTGCCAACAAATTTATCAGCACTGTACAATAGGATATATAAGAATTTACATACAGTAGTAGTAGTGGTTTATAGATTAAAGGACCACTATAGGCACCCAGACCACTTCCATTTAATGAGGTGGTCTGGGTGCCTGGTCCATCTAGGGTTAACCCTTTTTTCTATAAACATAGCAGTTTCACAGAAACTGCTATGTTTATGTTTGGGTTAATCCAGCCTCTAGTGGCTGTCTCATTGACAGCTGCTAGAGGCGCTTCCGCGTTTGTCACTGTCAAAATCACAGTGAGAAGATGCCAGCATCCATAGGAAAGCATTGTGAATGCTTTCCTATGGACTGGCTGAATGCGAGCGCGTGGCTCCTGCCGTGCATGCGCATTCAGCCGAAGAGGAGGAGGTAAGTTTAACCCCTTCCTCTCCATCTAGTCCGGCGGGAGGGGGACCCTGAGGGTGGGGGCACCCTCAGGGCACTATAGTGCAAGGAAAACGAGTATGTTTTCCTGGCACTATTGTGGTCCTTTAATGATAGCATAAGGCAGTAAGAATTAACACATAACATGGCATCTTTAAACAGGCTAATATTAGTGCACCATAGTAGATTGGTTGTTGTGCTTCAGGTGGATAGATATGCAAAACAAAAACAGAAAGAGTTCAATGGTGGAGTATATCTAGATTTATGGAATGGATGTGGAGAGACACTCACATGCAATTGAGCTCCAAATCAGCTCCATGGTATTAACTTTGGACTTAATAACAATCCTCACGTTTGGATATATAGTTATCTTCTCATGCTCAGTATAGATCCTCAAGAAGATATGTAATAGAAAGCTGAACACAGGAGCAGTATATAGTGTAGTGTATCATGTACACTTGGATAATGCTATAGGTATATATAATGTAAATTCAATTCAAAGGCTTTTTCAAAGAGTATAGAGGGCTCCTGAATGTTGCCTTCTTATATAGATGTTTTCAAATGTTAATTTGGTCCCAAAAATAACATCATAGGAACTAATTGATTACCTATGACCACATAGGTCAAAATGGATCGTTTTCATCTAAAATATTAGATTACCTAAATGGTACTGTACGTCTTTATTAATTAATGTGTATAAAAGAAAAACGTTCGTTTTAATAAAAAAAAAAAACATATATAGAAAAAACTGGCTTTAACAAATTGGTGGAGCCAATTTGAATATAGTATAGCACATGAGGCTGCAGCAAAATGGTTGGTTATACTAGAAAATATATAGCAGACACACTAGAAATAAAACTGCATAGCTAGCTTGCTAGATCCAGAAAAAGGGATCCCATCTACACTAGATAAAATTAGGGGAATCGTAATCCAGTCACATGATCTGGCCAGATAAAAATGAAGCCTAATGTAGGCTATGGGTATCCAATCACGTGATCTGTGTAATGCATTATGGGCAGTGTAGTACGAACTGCACATTTGTTGTCACGAAACTTGTATTTTTTTTGTATATGATAAAATGGGCCCGGCCCATACTACATACTATGTGAAGGTGGGGCTACAGGTACCCTGAACGTATGATGGAGACCAAACATAATGTGTGAATCATGTATAAGGATTTTTGAAAAATCATTTCAAAAGAAGGTAAATCGCTCAGATTGCTCAGAAAAATGTAGTGTTCTTTTTTTCTATTCCAGTCCATAGGTCTAGATATACCCAAAAATCTATCCACCTGACGCACAATAACCAACCTACTATGAATAATCGTCACTACTCCAGCCAAAAAGAGAGAACCTTGGCAGACCTGCTGCTACTTTTTATTAACAGAACTGTTTCAGCGCAATTCTGTACCTACCACAGTAATGAGTAGACTCATCTTCTCCATTAGAGCAGTCTACCTTGCCATCACACAGCACAGAGGGCGTCACACAGGTCAGTCTGTTGTCACACAGGAAGCCAGTGGCATTCATAGTGGTTTTGCAGTGACGTGTGTATGTATCTGTGTGATCAAACTTAATACATTGATACATTTATTGGCATTTACAAAGATTGTTTTAAACAAATTGTCCACTTTTCTTGCAATTACCAAAATGCTTCTTGCTATTTTGCCCCCTCCCCCTCAATGGATCCGCCACTGTCTATACCAGGGATAGTTAACCTTTTAATACCTACCGCCCACTTTTGTATCTTTGTTGATGGTAAAATTTCCTTACCGCCCACCAGTGCCGCAATAACAAATTTTATAGCGCAAGAAAGGAAGGTTTGTACTTAAATTTATCTATTTTTTACACTTTTTTTCTATTTTCTATTCTACTTTTTTTTTTTTCTATGTGTGTCTGTGAGGTGCTGTGTGTGTGTGATGATGCAGCGTGTGTGTCTGAAGGGGGAAGTTTGTGTGAGGGGGCAGTGTGTGGGGGTTGCACTAAGTGTGTGTTTGTTTGTGTGTGGGGGCAGTGTGTGTGGAAGTGGTGCATAGGGTCTGTGCTGTGTGTAGGTGGGTGAAATGTGAAAAGCTATCTTAATGTCTCCCCCTCCCTTCTTCTTACCTTTTTACCAGGGAGGGGGAACATAATGCTACAAGCCCTGGTGGCATGTCCAGTGGTGGAATGTTCACTGTAGCCTACAGCTCTTTCAGCTGCAGGCTGACTCTCCTGTCCTCCTGCGAGCACAGCACTGTATCAGAGCGTTGCCATGGTAATGGTTGGCAACACTCCAACCAGCCTGCTCGCAGGAGGAACACACAGCTTCTCAGGCACTTCCCTCCCTTTGCTGGAACTAAGTGCCAGCGGGCCAGTGAGGGAGATCTTTGATCTTTTCTGTAAAATAGTAATTTTCCTAAATTATTTGTTCTAAACTTCAAATCCTTCTCTTTCCTTGCAGACGTCCGTCTCATTTCTCTCTTTACTTTAAGGGACACTGTAGTCACCCAGACCACTTCAACTCAATGAAGTGGTCTGGGTGCCAGGTCCCTCAGGTTTTAACCCTTCAGATGTAAACATAGCAGTTTCAGAGATACTGCTATGTTTACATTTGGGGTTAAACCAGCCTCTAGTGTCTGTCTTCCTGACAGCCGCTAGAGGAGCATCTGCGACGCTGGATGCGAAATTCTCATCCATCGCGCAGAGTGTCCATTGGAAAGCATTGAGAAATGCTTTCCTATGGACTGTTTGAATGCGCTTGCGGCACTTGCCGCACATGCGCATTCCGCTCCACTCGGGAGCTGACGTCGGCGGGGGAGGAGAGGTCACCAGCGCCGATGGAGCCCGGCTCTGGATTAAGGTAAGCTGCTGAAGGGGTTTTAACCCCTTCAGCGCCACGGGAGGGGGACCCTGAGGGTGAGGGTCCCCCAAAGATTATATAGTGTCAGGAAAACGAGTTTGTTTTCCTGACACTATCGTGATCTTTTAAATTATATTAGATTTTGTGAATTTCCTCCAAATTTTAGACCATGTATTTCCTAAAATTTATCAAAATTCTGCTTTTAGCAAATAACTATTTTCATGTTTTTCCCATTTAATACTATTAGTACATTATAGCATGCTATTACTTGGATTTTTCGGAATTCCATAAATTACTCCTAACGTTATTGCTCCAGCAATTGTTCCCAGGACGAGTAGGACTGATCCAGCAATGCAGAGACATCTTCTAGTGGGGCAGCAATTGAAATCTGAAAGACAAATGGTAGCCAAACTTACTGGGTGCTCCAAGCTTGCCGTTTTTATGTGTAGTAATGATGTACTGGATGGTTAGTCGTTCTGTATTGATCACATCAATTTTCCTAAGAATCTATCCACTTCAAAGAATCAAAGAATCTCAGAAATTACCACACTTTCTATGTAGGAAAAATACATTGGGTAATTCTTCTGTCATTATTAAATCATTAAAACATAAATACACATTGTCTTGAAATCGAGACCTTACACACCATTGCAGTCCCCATCAACATTTACAGAACGATTTAATGTGCACAGTTGTAGTTTGCCCATTTAACCTTGCTACCTATGCATACTAGAAGAAAGAGGAGAAAAGGAGTCTGCGCTAAGTAACAGTAAATAAAAGTAGCAACCCTAACAAGGGAATCCCTCAAAAACCCTTGGTGACAACAGAAAGAAGAAAAAAAGGGGGTAAAGGGCTGCGCTATAAAATGAATAACTAACAGTATATAAAAACTGTACAGTGATAAAAAGTATATAAAAATATATATATATATATTATATAAAACAAAGTCCATGCAATAGTAGAGAAAAAATGTTAAAATGTCCAATAAAATGTATAATAGTGTCTCACTGATATATGGATAAGCGTATGTACAGTCCTCATGAGTTGATCCGTCCGATTTGTAGATAGTTCATATATGTGAAGATAAAAGCACAATAAAATTCCAATGGTGTAGTATGTACTTTAAAGATACGTGAAATAAAAAATGGAGGATAATACAATCACATTTGATGGAGCTATGGACCAGCTCTAGGATAAAGGGCACTTAGCGGTATAATCCCTGCTTCAGGATAAGTGGTAGCAGTAGATCAATCCGTCCAACTTGGTGTCCGTAGTGGTCCGTAGAATATATGGAGACAATAATAGTGCTCTCAGTGTGAAAGGATAAAAAGGATAAAATAGTAAGAATATACTTACAATGATAGAGCAGAAAATACTGCTCTATAGATGCAACTCTGGTGGACTAATCCCCACCTATGGATTGCTTGAGCGGGATACGGTAGGATGCCAGGAAAATTAATAAGTTGAGAGAAAGTGTATATACAATAAAATAGGATTGGTCCTATAAAAAGGAATACCAAATAAAACTTTTTATTGTTAAAAATACACAATATAAAACCATTTGTTTTATGGTTTTATACTGTACTAGTCTTCTTTTTTTATACTAGGAGGCTGCTTTGAGAATCAAAGAGTCAGAAAATAAGTTATTTATATATATCTATATGTCCTGGAACCACACCCTCCTGGAGACGAATGGGGAATTCGCTCTAGACACCCACAGGCACTGGACGACACTCAGTCCTGGGAGCTCTAGTCCTTACAAGGACTTTCCCGGTTGAATCCTCCACACTGGAACAGTGACCAGTAACCAGACGGCACACAGTTCTGGAAGTCTAAGCTGGAATGCTTTAATCCAGGCCAAGTGGCCTCCTTTTATACACAATGCACAGCAAATATTACATTATGTAGAACACACCCACATTGCACAGTCTCCCTTCAGGTTCATACGTAAACTCCTTCCCTTAATTCCTGTAGCTGAGAGACAATTGAACCTAAAGGACCTTAAATCGATTGTCTCTCAGTTACAGAATATATACACAAAATCCTAAAACACATAATAAAAATACATAATAACCACACAAATTATACATCCTCAAACACTTCTGTTCTGAGCGCCCAAGTTGTGGAAATTGCACTCAAATTCATGCAGTACAGAGAAATCACCACCGTGTTAAAGATCTGACCGGCCGCACACGTGGTCCTATGCCTAAAACAGTTCCAGAGCATTTAGTGCTTTTGCTGGTCAACTTTCCGAGGCTCCAGCGGAGGAACTACAGGGTGTTCCGCCTAGATTGCAAGCAGCGTTTGTTCCCCATAGTCTCAGGCACCTTCCCTCCAAAAAGCGCTCTCTTGGCTGTTTTCAAAGTGGTCCAAAATGCAGAACCAAGTTAACCGGTAACCACACGGTCCCCTAGCCGAAAATAGTTCCATAGAATCGCGACTAAGTGCCGCTGGGGACCGATCGGGAACCGCAAAGTCTGTGAGTAGGGGGTGATACAACGCATCTACATTAGCCATCCCTGGGGACCAGGTCTGCTTAACATGTGAAGTTTTCAGTATTTTAAAAAAGCATGATAAAGTTCAAATATATGAGGAAAATTTTTTAAAATGTTCCAACATTTTTTTTCATTTTTCCAGAAAGTCTGCATTTTATACCAGCTTCCTGCTGTATCAATTTATCTTCCCTTGTAATTTTTCCGGTCGCTGACCATTTTAATATCAATCTGTGACTGGCTGAAATAAGCAAAACATCCATGAAAATAATAGTCAGATTTTTTTATTTTCTGACGTCTCATCCTGGGGTGCTAATTTCTTAAACTCTTTAAACTCCTGATCTTCTGCAAAGAGAATAGGCAAAATATGCAAGTGCCACACGTATATGAAGTTGTGCTACTGTGCTATTTAATGATTACATAGTTACATAGTTACATAGCTGAAAAGAGACTTGCGTCCATCAAGTTCAGCCTTCCTCACATTTGTTTTTTGCTGTTGATCCAAAAGAAGGCAAAAAAAAAACCCAGTTTGAAGGGCTTCCAATTTTGCGACAAACTAGGAAAAAAATTCCTTCTTGATTCCAGAATGGCAGTCAGATTAATCCTTGGATCAAGAAGTTATTACCCTACATTGAAAAATTATAACCTTGAATATTCTGTTTTTTGCAAGTATGCATCTAGTTGCTGTTTGAACATCTGTATGGACTCTGATAAAACCACTTCTTCAGGCAGAGAATTCCATATCCTGATTGTTCTTACAGTAAAAAAAAAACTTTTCTTTGCCTTAGACAAAATCTTCTTTCTTCCAGTCTAAACGCCACCTCATGTCCTATGTAAAGTCTGGTTTGTGAATAGATTTCCACACAATGGTTTGTATTGGCCCCGAATATATTTGTATAATGTTATCATATCCCCTCTCAGGCGACGCTTTTCTAAACTAAAGAGATTTAAATTTGTTAACCTTTCTTCATAGCTGATATGTTCCATTCCTTTTATTAATTTTGTAGCCCGCCTCTGCACTTTTTCTAGTGCTATAATATCCTTCTTTAGAGCAGGTGCCAAAAATTGCACAAAATATTCAATATGTGGTCTTACCAGTGATTTAT